GTATTCCGAATCCGGGTTGTGGATTTGGAGCAAATGACATGTAATGTTTTTTTACTCGCACGGAGGCATGAGTGTAACTGAATTTTTTTTTTGCCCTTTTTCTTTTTTGGTAAGCCAGTTATGGTGAAGCTGCTAATGACTCTGCTCATGCGGTCTCTCTACAGCTAATTACTCAGAATATTGATGAAAAAAAAAGCGGACATCTAGTGGTCTAACAAGGGGTATTTCTACAATTATTGGAATTTTTTTTTGATTCTCGGCAGCAAAGTCAAATTGTGGGAAAAAAAAAAAAATCACTGGCTGCCGGGCTATGTCAACCCGGCAGCAGTGAAATGCTGCACAACTAAGAAGTAAAAAGTTGAGGAGGTTGGGTCAATAAACGTCAATGGATACAGGTGTGAAAAATCTTTTCCTTGCATTTCTTTCCAACTCCATTTTAAAAGATTGGAATTCCCTTTGCTTCCCAAACAACATAGAAAGAAACCATTGCACTTCCCGGGTTCTTCTCTTTTCTTCCTCTCATAAACTCACAAACTAGGCCTAGTTCTCAAACATCCCAAATTTTGCGTTTTAGAGGTCCAACTTTTTTGAGACTAATGCATCGCAAAAATTAATTTTTTTTAATGCTCATGTTTGCTTTTAGGATTTTTATTAACGTGTGCTTGGAAGGTACTTGTTAGTGTACCTATCTTTATATTTGAACACTTTCTCAAATTAGTAACTGCTTTGCCAAAAAATTAACAAGTGAAGCTCTCTCACCAAGTCCTCACTAGGCACCTATTAGCCAAAATTGAACACGGTTGAGAGGTACTGTCTCTGAAAACACAGAATAATTTTCTTTTCTTGATATAATAATTTATATTCTATACCTACTCCTATTATATATTGGGAGGAAAGGGTAGACATAAATGGATCAATGAGAAACTTGGAGAAAAATAAACCACTGAACTGCCATGGAACCATATGGGTGCTTGTGCACTTGCTAGTTAAATTTTTAGACAATCCTAGGGAAGAGTGCACAAATCAAGGGATTTGATTTCTTAACCTACACCTAAGAAGAGCTTTCATTTTCTCCCCGATGGACAGCTATTCTAATAGTAATTCATTATAGAATAATTTTGGGTAAAATACCAAAAGATTGACTATGATTTGTTAAATGTTCAATTTAATACTCTCTGATTTGAAAACCTATACTATAGCATAAATTAAATTGAATCAAAATCACACGAAACTATCGCGTAGATTTTCAAATTAGAAAAAATTAAATTGAACATCTGACAAATCACGAAAAGTTTTGATATTTTATCTAACAATTTTTTGTGAATCTTATACATAGTGTTAAAAGCAAGGCAAATTAATTGGATCGTACATTTTTTTTGTTGATCAAATCATAACCGTTAACTTTATCGGAGACGTGGCCCCTTATTCGCCATTCCCTTACCTATATATCTAAATAATAAACTTTTCAATTGCCAAAAAAAAAAGAGATTTAAAATCCACACAAGAGTGACTCCATCAACTAATTCTGGCCCGACCCTATTGCATACGAATTCTTAATCCCATTGCCACAGGACAGGATGACAAAATCTAAGCCCACAAAAAAAGAGGAGGCAGCTGGCTGACAAGATAAGATAATACCCATTTCTATACCCGGCAATTGGGCGGGTTAGACGGGTTTTGGGCGGGTTAATATGGGGTTTTCATTTAAATGGGTTATATCCAACCCGTCCAACTTAAAATCAGGTTAATTTTGGGTTTGGTCATATTGGGCCATCTCAAACCCATGACCCAAATATGACCCAATATATTAATTTAATAGATTTTAATACATAAATTGTCTCAAATACATTTTCACATACAACAAAAAAATTTTCAAACACATAAACACATTTTTACATAGATAGACATATTTTCACGCACTAAAACACTCACGGTACAAATACACACTCACTTCTTAAACTCATTTGAAATACATTAATTAGTTTGTTTGGATAGTAAATTATTTGGGATAATTTTGTGAAAAAAATACCGTAACACTTTTTTAATGTGATGTATATAAGATAAAAAGGTGATTGAAAAATGTGTAGATGATGCAAGCAAGTCAGTGTGTGTAAATAAGGTGTAAATAATATGCAGTTCAAATACACTATTTTTACATATACAAACACAGTAAAATGCATCCTAATATACTTTTACAAATATACGCACATATTAACTGTTTAAACTCTAAAAAGGTTAGTGAAATGGTTAGATATTTCACCTCATGAGAGGTTTCTGGAATTATGCCATATAAAAACAATGGCAAATTGGACCGGCTTTCAAACTTTGAAAATTTGTTTCTTTTTTTCTCCCCTTTTTTTTTTTTTTTTAAAGAATTGAGTTATACGGGATTCTACATCAAATCAGTATTCTATCATGTAGATAAAAAAATCTTGGACCAATTCCCCCGCAATGACAGTAGTACTTCATAAAAACATGGAAATGAGTAGAAATTAATTAATTACTTGGCTACGAAATACTAGATTTAGCAACTAACAAACAAATAATAAGAAACTAGATTTAAGTTCTACAGGTCGACAACTTCCTAATGACCTTCATTGAGCAAAAAATGTAATTTGTTTATTTATTTTTTTTAATTTAAGTTGGGTAATGGGTGCCCAACACAAATACCTAAACCGCCCAAAATATATGTGAGTTTTTATTACTCAACCCAAAATTGATCCAACACCCAATTTACCCAATCCAACCTTTCAAATTAGTGGGTGGGTTGGGTGGGTTGTTGGGTTTTGAGCATAATTGCCAGATCTAATTTTAATCGAACAAACATCGGGTTTACTTAGAATTCAGACATCTTGTGTTTGACGTTTATGCATGAAAAAAGGATTCTTCAATGTCGTGTCATGGTTAATTTAGTTCTCAACCCAGTGAAAGCAGGAGTGAGAAAAATAGGAAATGTTATCCTTCTATTGTTTATATTTTGTTTGTTTGGATAGTGTATTATTTGAAATATTATTTAGAATAATTACTGTAGGACTTTTTGTGATGTGATGTATGTGAGATAAAAAGGTGGTTGGAAATATGAAAAGATGGGTTGGAAAATGTGTCTATGACGAAAAAAAAAAAAATTTGGGATAATTTCACTATCCAAATTATCTTAGTTGGACGTGAAGCTGCATATGAATCCACTACTCCAAGATGATCTCACAAACTCACAGCTCACAAGGGTTCAAGTTTGTTTTTCCTGATGTTTTGTTGGATGATTATTAATTTAGTCCTTAAATACCATTGGGCTCGATTTTTAATCAGTTTGTCATGGAAGTTCAAGGATGTTTGATTTGATGTCCTAACTTCAAGCCCAATCTAAAGTTGTTGTTGGGTCAGCTTCAGCCTGAAATCTACGCTTCAAATTTGTTTGCAAAATGTTCTTGTCCAAACGTGAAACAATTGCTGCAAAAAGATATGCAACTTCTGTGGCTTAAAATAAAACTTACCATCACCAAAAATTAGGAATATATCACACAGTAAGGATCCAGAATTATAGGTGTGTATAAACCATTGATAGCATTTTAATATAAATCAATCTTTGAATTTAATCTTAATCTCATTCAAAAACTTTAGATATACCTATCCCATGCAAAGTGAACACTCTTCTCATTTCTTAATCGCACGCATTTAGGTTGTGTTTATGATGTTTAAAATCATAGCGTTGGGGAATATAGTCCTAAAACTTAACAGTGTACAGCAAAAAGAGTCCATCTAGCAGGTGTTCAATACCCATTGGGCACTCATAAAAATATATTTTCAGTGTTGTACTTTTTAAACCATTAGATTAATTAGGGAAAGTACATTACTATAATAAATAATTAATAAGATTAAATAAAAAAAATATATAAATACACCAGGCACAGTGCATTAAAAATTATCATTTCTTTTGCAGCTTCGGCTTGGTTTGGCAACACCCCCCGAAGGCACAGGGCCAACAAAACCCTGAACCACACCCTTGCATTGCACAGGCCTAAGTGTGACAGTAAAAATAGTTGATCAGTGTCCTGGCTGCGGAGGAATCCTTGGTCTGTCTAAAGAAGCCTTCACAGCCATTTCAAATCCTGTTGCTGGGATTATTAAAATTGAATATAATCAGTAAGCCCAGAAACCAAAAAAATAAAATGCATGTCAGATTAATTTTTTTTTCTATAGCAATTTATTTTGATTACATATATCTTTAACGCTGGTAATAAATTGCATGGTAATAGCAAAGTACATTTTTTCACTCCCCTATTTTGGTAAATTCTCAAAATTGACAGTATACATTTATTCCAATTTAATTCTTTTAATGCAATAAATCTGTCCATCATTCGTAATTCACGAATAAAGAAAACAAAATGAGCACCCAAAGGACTCAATCAAGAGGTTATTAACATAATGAAAATTTGAGATTTCTATCAAAATAGTTGACATAGTCCCACGGGGCTTAAGCTGTTAAGCATGATCTTTTAGAATTCGAATCAAACTTCTTGGAAATCATACTCCTGTTGTGACTCGTGGCTGAAGTTTTAGAGAACATCCTCGAGTTACAAAAACTAAAAAACAAAAAGGTTCCCCCACTCCTCCTATCTGACAACCTTCTCTCCTTACCGGAAATGGGGCAGACAACCGTACCTGGTAGTTTTTTTTTTTTTTGTCAAATATCAACTTCAATATATGTACCGTACCTGGTAGTTGATGGTCATGGTTTAGTTAAAAAATTTTGTACATTCAGATCACATTTTATAATTGGCTTTCCATGTTATATGTAAATTTATAAAAATTTATTCTAAAATTATATCATACGTAAAAAAAATTATACCGTATGTTATGCACTGTAAAAAATGCACTTTTTTCATCCCTTCCCATTACCCTCTATCTCACTCAAAAATCTCAGCACAAAGGTTCTGCAACAATGGCTTAAAGGGGTTTTAGCTTTCTTGTCACGGTAAATATAACCTTCCATTTCCATGCATGCATGACCTTTTGTCTGTCCCCATTTTAGATTCTTTTTCGCTCCAATTTCTGCACTTTTTTCCTGGGTTTTCTTGTGCTCTGACCTTAACCCGTGTTTGGCTGCTGTGGAAATGGGGGAATATTATGGGTTTGAAAGTTGACATTTTTCAGCATTTCTCTTGATGGGTTTTCACTAAAATGACGTTTTACATGTTGGGTATTTGAGAATGTTGAAAGATTAGAGGTTTTTTTTTTTTTTTTTGCCTTTTTCCCCCTTCCAATTTTCTTGGCGGCCTGAAAGAGTAGTCGGTGGGCTTGTGTTCTTTGAGGTTGTTCATTAGGCCAGCTCTAGGCCAATATTCTGAGTAATTAGCCCAAAAAAACGAAAAAAGGGAAAAAACAGAGAGGGAGATTATTTTCTTCTTGCTCTGTCTGTCGGTGAGTGTTTATCTATCAGTTATTACTGTATTTTTTTCTCATCGTTATTAGAATCATCTTCTATATTATATTAGTAAGAGGAATGCATTTCTTTCTTTTTGTTGGTTTGTATGGTTTTACAGGTTTAGTTTCGTCAGGAAAAAAGTTTTAAAAAAATAAAAGCAAGTATCCCCACTTTAGGGTATCTAATCATTTTACCCCGTCATTGTTTGCTCTGTGTTTGATGGTTTGATTCTATGTGAGGAAACAAAATATTTTATGTGCGGCTCATTCGCCTCTTCTTCTGCCTACATCTATTTTTGAGAATTTACTATACGCTTTTGCTTCTTTTTTTTTCCCCTTTTCTGGTTCCAAAGCGATCATTTAGCCAGAATGCATGTGTTTTTATGTTTCTGTTGTGGTTTTCCAGTTTAGAAAAATCAGCAAAAAAAAAATGTATAGAAAGCTCCCTTCTCAAGATGCATGATCATTTCTCTAACTCTTTGTTTGCCGTGTTTGATAATTTGCTTCTAAAGATAAGCTAAGCATGAAATTACATTTGCATATATCTGCAGATTTCATTTTGGACAATTTAATGGAATGTGGACTGACTTGGTGACTTTTCTTTCCTTGCATTTTGACGCAAGACCAAAGGAGAAGGCATTCTGTTTTTCTCTTTTTGTTCTGTGCTCAGTGGCTGCTTGACGCTTTGTTATCATTTTGTCTCTTTGGGAGTTATTTTTAGATAATTTGTTAGTTCCTACGGGAAGTTTGTATTCCAACTTGTATGTATAATATAAAAAGGAGAAAGGACTCTAAAGAAAAGAGTGAGAGGTGTGATTAATTATTGATGGCCCTTGGCTTTTAGGGATAAACAAGTTATTGGGAGATGGTCCTTTTATGATTTTGAGAACTATTCTAGTGCTATGATGATTTCTGAAGTGCCACTTTAGCTTATGGAAATCTGAAAAGAAGGAAACTTTATTCTGCTACAGAGTCTACTGGAGTAAGTAATGATGCTCCATCTCATGAGAATCATTGCTTCAGTACAAATCGTCTCTTCACAAATAGCCAAATCCCTTGAAAATATTCCTGTGTGCAATGAAATTAGAGGCAACTACTTTGCTACCAATTGCAGAAAAAGTAATATTTTGGTCTACAACATAAGGAAGTATCAAAGTCTACACAACTCTACAGAATTATACTTACTCATTCAGTTCTTCATTTATCACATTTCATGCTGGGTACTCTCATTTGCAGCATGCAACAGCAAAACAGCAACTTTGTGCCAGTGATGGTAAAATGAAAGCATTTTTTCCGACCTGCAAAACACTGATTTAGCTTATGTTTTATCAATCTTTCCTCAAGAACTTGGTGTATTTAAGTCTGCCTTGATACCTTCTTGAAACTGACATTCTGCTGGTCTTTTAGAGCTCTTCTGCGTTCAAACTTCTAATAAAGACGGTATAGAAAAGCTGCTATTTTGAGGTGGAAACTAAAGAAGTTGCACGGGAATGCTTTACAAACAAAGTACTATGAGTGTTCTGGAAATTTTAGTGGAATGAGAAATTCACAGAACTCTTCTGATATTATTCGTTCTCATATGAGTTTGGATAATAATTCAGTTAATTTTAATTTATTAAAAAATCTTTGTGATCTTCAGTCTAAACCTTATTATCTCGATATATTATAAGATTTTAAACATAACTATAATCTCTTCCTCCCAGTAGCACTTGGTAGTCACTCACATCAACGCACCAATAGATGACAGTTAGCAATAGGAAAGAGAGTTCTCAGGTTTCCTTGAACAACTTCAAACTTTTAGACAATTTTTTATAAGTACATATTATGATAATAGGCACAAATTCTAGGGGATAACTAATTTATACATTTTAGGAAGGCCTCATACAAAAGGAAGAGCTCTGCTGGACAGGATTGCTGAAAGAGCTACATACTAGTTTGAACCTTTTCCCCCCTCTTGCTTCTCTGCCTTGGTTCCTCTTGGTGGAAATGAATGACAAAATAGACTACTTGATTAATATTTTGTCTTCTTCTCTGAACTTTCCATGTTTCTTTTTTTTTTCTTCCAATTTTTCTACTTATTTGTGTCACTGACCCATGTCCCATGTCTAATTTGTAGGAAATTGTAGGAAGATTTGGTTTTTTCTTGGTTTCCCTTCTCAAGAGCTCTTTCTACTCGAATCTGGTTTGAAGGTAATTTATTATTTGCCTTTTCAACTCTTAAGGGTTTCAGTGGATGGCTTGTTCTCTATATTTCTTGAATGCTATTGGTTTTTGTTTTTTTTAACCTGATACTTTCTTACTCTTTTGTATTTTGAGTTGAGAGTTTTGTTCTTTCTACAATCAGGTATAATGCTTCATTCTTTTTTTCTTCGTATTTTTTCTTTTTTCTTATGCTTTTGTCATTCTTCCTACTGATGTATTAGTGGGTGTCTTCTTCTCTTTGTTTGGTTGGTTGACTTCCTTTATGTTAATTTTCCTGCTAATTTTTTGGTTTGGTAAATTCTCTTCCTTTATCCAGCTAAGCAGACGCTTATCTAAGCAATCATTTCCGCTTGATTTCATTTTTGTTTTGGCAATTGCTTACTTTGGGTTTTGCACGAGTCTAAAGTTTTACTGTTGCATTGGGGTTAGAAATAGCAGGACAACTAGCAGTACATGGCCCCTTTTCTCCCTTTTTTATGTTTTTATTCATGGTTAAAGCAAAGTTACCAAAAGATGACTTGTTAGTAGATTATTTGAGATTTTGGTTGCTGATAGTATTGAAAGCTTCAAGCCTTCAACTATGACTTCTTCACTTTATTATTTTGAGATTAGGAGATTTTGATTGTATCAATTTCAATATTTATATTCTATTTTAATAGCATAGCTTCAACCGCATACGTCACTGTTTTCTCAACTCAAAGTGCAGATAGGCAGCGTCACTGGGCTTGAGTCCGTTGCTAGCAGGCTAAATGAGGGCCTAGCAAAAACATACCAGTGAGGAGCTAGGTTTTGTTCGCTGGACGGGGATTTTTGTTGGACCGTACACTATTCAGAAAACTCTCTGTGAACTGTGCGGATCAGTGTTCTCAGAAAACATCATCCCTGCTGCCGCCGTTCCTTTGGCGCTAATTTTAGACTTCAAATTCAAGCCTCATCACCCAGCTCATCACCCCCTCTTGGTTCTACAGATTTCACAAACCCAAATCACCACCAAACCCTAATCCATCATCCGGGATCAAATGGACGATTGGAAAATTAATGATTATAGTTGCACATTAACCAAAGTCAATGTGGAAGGTAGAAACCCAAGTGAAGGATATAGCAATGGTGTGTTACGAAGGCCAGGTTTGCCGGACAAAAACTGTTCATTTGTACCAGTTAAAAGTACAGAGTTGCTTCCCATATCTTCGAATATGGAGCGACTGGTCGGGAGCGACTCTGTTTTGTCAATTTATGGCCTCTTGTCACATAGAACAGAAAACAGATATCTTTTTGTGACTGATAGGATTGATTCTTCCTTGGACCAATCCTTCAAAAATGAAGGCGACCCGTACAATGAAAGTGGGTATTTGAAGCCGTCTTTGGCCGATAAAGTAAGGTAATGTTCATCATTTAAAACTCTGCTCCTTCTTTTCTTTGAAGATCTGCCCTTTTCTTTCTTGTTGATTGTGTACATCATTATGTCTCCACATTTTAGTTTGACATTTTAGTTGCTTTAATTTGTATAGGGGTTTGTTGGCAAGTTTTGTTGTCTTGTGCAAAAACAACGTCAAACATTGTGACGGCTGCGACATCAAAGCTACTCAAATATTTGTCGTGAAAGGAAAAGTCAAGCTTTTGTATGTCACAATTCATAGCCCACATGAGAATGAGGAACATTTCAGCAGATACAGCGGGGAACAGCTCAACAGATTATTCTCTCATCTACTCAATCCACAGAATAAAATCCTTGTGAAAAAGGAATATACTCATTTCTGTGGGTTGGATAATTATTTAAAGTTGAGTTTTAAGTTTTTAGAAAAAAAATCATAATACCTATTTTTTTTATAATTTACCTATTTTTTTATAATTTAAGTAAACTTTTTGTTTTTGATTCATTAGGGAAAAAGCTGCTCGTCATCCCTTGTTGTTAAGCCCTTGGGAAAGATTGGCACTGCCGGCGCATGTACACTGCAGGCTATTGTCAGATGGCAAATATTATCCAAACCTGCTCAATCGGAAATGTCGTATGGCGTCGTGGCAAAAAAATATCTCCCCCAACAGTTTGTATTTCATCCTTCGTCACTTTGTTTTATTCACTATTTCTTATCATGCTCATTTTCATTGTTTGTACATGTATTGTACTTTATTTTGTCCTTGAAATTTGGCAATAGCCACCCACAAATATTCTGCTTGGGAATATATATTTTGAGAGAATACGTGAATAACAATGAAATGGTTGGCTCTAAGTTAATTTTTGATAAATGTATGTCCAAACACAATAATAAATTAATGATAAGTAGAATCTTGGCTATTGGATAAAGAGATTTTGGCAGTGATATGTAAAGCTGATTTTTCATTGTTGGACTGTATTTATGATCCCATTATGTGTATCTAGTGGCACCATGGAGGAAAAAAATCCGTGGGATTGGCGTATTAGTTAGCTGACAAAACATGAATATAGTGTTTACTTTCATGTTTGACTGACATAATGGTCGGATGCAGGTATTACGGGAGTCATACTTGCCCATAGGTCATATGGCCATACGGCTCACGATTGCTTGGACTTTCTGAGAAATTTTGTCGAGCATGTGTTTGAACGTGGTACACTCGACAAGTACTGTGATGCAATTGGGGATAAAAATGCTACTTTGGTACATTAATTTTTGCCAATAAACATATGATATCTGTCTACTTTAGCTATAATACTTTTTGTGCCCCTTTAACTTTAATTTCTTATGTTGTATATAGCCATCACTCGTTGAAATGAACCAGCTTCTTGCGTCTCAGATTGGGGAAGATTATCTACTGAATATCTTTAAGAATATTGATTCTAGGCACTGGAAGTAGGTATGTAACACTAACATCATCTAGATTCCATCCCCAGGTGTTATATTAATTTCATGTTACCTTTTTCGCATAGTACTTGCATGATCAGCAACTGTTTACTATTAGAAAGTATCTCTAAGAAGGTAACTTATTAGGTTTAAAGTTTAACAGATATTCACACTTTGGATTTAGCATAGTTCTGTAAATTATGGAAATTAAAATTTGATGATATAGCATTTTCATATGTGACATTCACATCTCTACATCTCTGCATAGCTGTGAGTGACAAATGGTTTTTATCGTTAAGCATCACTTTTGCAATTGTAAGCATGTTGGTTGGAATCTATATGGCTGGATAGTTCCAAAATGTATACAACACATTGAAATGCCCAAAATGTTAGAGCTAGTGACATGGAGTGCTGCATGAGAAAATTGAAATTGAGGGAAAATTGGTGGTCTTTCCTACACTTTGTATTGAGAATGAGATCTGACATCAGTTTTGAAGTTTCTAGTTGGAGTCGGCCCACCTGAAAAGATGTGTACCAATATGTTTTAGTTTTTTGGAAAATGTCTTTGGGGCCCTTGATGCATTGAGTGGTCTAGAACTGATGCTTGTGATTAGTTTGTTTGCATCTGGCCATGCTTTTGAGTTTTGACAACCCAAGTCATAGCTCACTGTCTAAGCATACTAACATTTAGGCCATGCTCAGCTAAACTCAAGTTTATATCTAATTCCTCCTATTTGGACTGACCAAGCTTGGATTGTAGGGTAAACAATGGAGTCAAACAAATTTCATGTCTTTGTATGTTGAGAAATAAGGGATTAATAATATAATATGTTGAGAAATATATGGATAACAGATTTCATGTCTTTGTCATTAATCATTTAATTGCCTCGAGCTTGGTCAGATCTCACATCATCAAGTTTATGGAGAATGTTATAATCTTGTAGATAAACCAAATCCTCATTGATGTGCTTAATACTTTAGTTTTGTGCACTTAACCCTCGGGTTGGTAGTCTACTCTTCCAGTGCCCCAAGGCCCAAAGTACAGATTATACTCCCTAAACTTTAGGGCACTTAAACCTAAACTTTTGAGATAATTATACTAATTTGAATATAAACAAGGAAACTTAAGATCACATTTACTTAAACTTAGCTCACTCAAGCTCAACTTCAAGCTACATTGGATCTTTATTCAGTCAAGCTCAATCAAACTTGTGTGATATAAATTAATATTTTATATAATTTTAAACAAGAGATATGGTAGCTTTTCACACTAATAAATATAACAAAATCAAAATACATATATATTTGAAATTTGATTGAGCTCGATTAAATTTAGTGAGTTTCAAGTTTCATATGTCTATCTCTAGATGGAGCTTGAACTTGTCAAGTTATTCGAGTTGCTCGAACTTGATTAACACGAATTTAAGATGAGTTCGAAATCAAACTTTGATCGCATAAGCTCACAAGTTTTTTGCACCCTATTTAGAAGTAGATTTCGCCATGTACCCCCCACTGTGACACAATTGACAATCAACAGAAAAGCTCTTTCTGTCTCCTCAATTCCTCCACCGTATGAGTCCATGCATTTGACAACCCAGTTAGAGCTCACTAAGCATAATTTTGGCCATGCTCAATTCATCTCAAGCTTGTGCTAAGTTCTGCCTAATTTCGGTTGACCAAGCTTGGATAGTAAAGATTAATTTGACTCCACAGCTACAATGAGGTCTGGCTACATGACAGATAAATTAAGGAATTAGTACCTAGTAAAAGATATGACTAACAAATTTAATGTTTTTATGATAAATCATTTGATCAAATCGAGTCTGGACGCAGCAGTATCCAATATTTATGTCAGTTTGATGAAGGACAGCTATTATTCCTTTAAATTATAATTCCAAATGTTAAGATGTGAAACGAAATATTAGTCACATTTTCCTTTTTCCCCATTTTCTTACTTTTTAGATCATTTAAACTCGTACATTTTTTTTCACTCTTTTAATAATTTAATTTTGAAGAGAAATAATTTTTGTAAATACTTGGTAATATGTTTTTTAGTACTTGGTAGTCGAGTTTTTGTTTATCTCCAATGGCGGCGATTGCATGACCCGGACCCTGAGCCACCGTATCAGAAATCACAGTAGCAATGATTAAGGCATCATCTATTATTCATTTGTTTCTTTCTATTTCTGTGCTCTATTTACTTATGTGGTATACTGATTTCTTGAATGCCTTATGTTTCTGATGTTATGAAATAACATGATTGCGTGGTTCTGAGGTTGGGAATTTGAATTGGTCCTATGTGAAAATTGCCTTCCTAATAGCCTTGTATTAGTGATGTGTCTATGGGCCCTGGCCTTTTCTTAACCACAAAAATCACAGTGGCAACGGTTAAGGCATCATCTGTTATTCATTTGTTCCTTTCTATTTTCTGTGCTCTATTTACTTATGTGGTATGCTGATTTCTTGAGAGCTCTATGTTTCTGATGTTATGAAATAACATGATTGTGTGGTTCTGAGGTTGGGAGTTTGAACTGGTCCTATGTGAAAATTGCCTTCTTAATAGCCTTGTATAAGTGATGTGTCTATGGGCCCTAGCCTTTTCCTAAGTTGTTGATCATGGATTCCCTTTTTAAATAGAATACTTCTAATGCTGCTACCTCCAGATCAAGTGCTCTGTAAATTTGTAACGTTAAATGGGTGTTATTCCTTTGATGTGCCTAACAGGCTTTTCTATTGGGTTTTGCGTGATCTGTACTTGGGTTTTTGTTTGCCAATAGCAAGTACCTAGCCTAAGCCCTTGTTATTTGTGTGCAACAATAGCTGCTGCCAAGAATTTCCTCCATTTGTGTTTTCCTATCTTAAGTCATGCTATATACTGCTTGAAAGACTTGTAGTCTTAGGTCTCCTTATCTTGGCATTCTCTTATTCTGATGTTTTCAACTTCGCAATACCTTTGTTGCTCAAGGATTATGATTATATGTCCATTACCTTATGAGAAGTATTCTTGTCTAATTGCTGTATGGACAAGGATTTTGAAATCAGAAACTAATTCATCCCCTCTTTAACTCTAGATGGAAGGGGGCAACGAAATTTGTCTTTTCCTGGCCTGGGCAAATGATACCATCTAATGATCTTTTCAGAACCGTAGATTGTCCATAAACAATGAATTTTTCAAGTTCTGTGGTCGTTTCTATGTCAAACTTTCATACATCATTTCCTTTTCATTGGTTGGTTGTTTGGCTGCCTTGGAGAGTGAATAGAAGAGGGACTTCAAAGACAACTTTTGCAACCGGGAATTTGTAATTGGGGGTGCAGCTTTTGCCCTTTGGGTCGCTTTAGCTTTCATCTTAGTAGGTGCATGAAATGTAAGTCCTTGTCTGTTTGTGCTTAATTGAAATACTTGTTGGAAAGACTTTCTTTCCGGCTTCAGGCTGCATCATTATTTATTACAAGTCATGACATATCAATTGCTGCTATTGCTTTAAAGTGCCTATTGGATTATCTGCTATTTTCTTATTTGGTTCTTGTTGGTCTTAAGATGCAAAAGACATTTGTTGCCTTATAAGGTAATCCAGAGGACTTCAGTCAATGCACAGGTGTTCTGAAGCATCATGGCTTGCCTTATTATTATAAAATCTGTATAATGATATTCCACTATTTGTGATGTAACAACTTGTCAATTTTTAATTACATTACGTTGGTCCTTTGCTTAGTCATGTATTGCCTTTGTAATGCAGCATATGTGAGGTTTTTACATATTTTGTACCACGGTGAACTTTGTCCACTTTGGAGTTTGCAGCCTTATCTTCACTTTCTTGAAGGGATCTGTAAATTCTGGAGGCTTCTAGATTTTAGCTTTTTGGTCTTGAATAATTTGATTATCTTTAGTGGTTGAAGCTCTTGGTAAAATATGATTTAGTTTTGGAGTTTACAATTAGATTATCTACTTAGCAGGATTTAGTTTGTTAGGATTTTCTGCCTACTATGTGTCCTTCCATAGGAGTGATCTGAAGGAACAGGAGTATCTAGAAAAGTGTATTGCAACTGATGTGCTTTGTTGTGGCTTACTTCTAAGCCTCTTTGTTATTCCTTTCAATTTTCACTTTATATCATTATGTGCTTCATGAGTTTATCTTTGCTGTGTTCTAAATTTCATAGGTTTTTCTAGATGAAAAGATTTTAATGCATATATGTTCCGACAACACAGAAAATGGAACAGTTGGGAATTGATGACCTTTCTTTATATTAATCTGCTTTACCTATCTGTTATTGCCTATATTACAGTCTTAGAGTTGGGGATACTGGATGCTGTTAATTAACAGAAATAAAAAATGCTGTTGCAGTATTTTGGAAGTTGTAATTAGATACTTAGATGAATAGAGAACATAAAACGTGAGCCGAAATCATACACTTTTTTTCATGTCAGGTGCTTTGCGCACAGCATCCAATATAGTGTCTGTATTGTCTTGTGACCCTTCATTTACGAACAATTTTCAGAAAACCGTTTGTCTACAGTTTTCTAGTAGTTTTTTCCAGTACTTACATTGGTAGTGTCTGATATAGTTTATGGTTACCGGAAATAATTCAATCATTGAGGGCTGGGTTGATTATGTAAGGCTTGCATGGGCTGTGCCTTTAACGTTAACACAAGACGGTTTTGATGTGAAGGATACTTCATCTGATCATGTGTAGTACATGCATTTGTGCTTGGATATCGTTTTCTCTGGTAGCATTTTACAGTTGGACAACAAATATGTATGCTATTTGAGAGTTAATTTTGTGAATGGCTTGAAACAACCACTTGTCAGGTGACTTAATCGTGACTGTGGGATCTGTGTCTCTTATTGTAGGATGAAGCTGAGGACGTATAGCTCGAGACAGATGACTGCAGCGTTGATGATGGAACTTGAAGAGGGGTTGAGAAGAAACAACTTGAATAGCTTTGAGCTTTCACGAAGTTTGCTCTATGGTTTAAGGGAAGCTTGATTTGTCCAATTATCACTAGCATACCCAAATGAAAACCGCCAAATGTTTTGCTTAACTGGAAGTTTATTTGTACAGGGATCTCCAATGTTGCTGCATGTGTTTTTGAGTTTCATACCGTTTTTATTATGGCTGAGGTTATCAAAATGGATAGTTATATCTATGTGGGCCTGCAGAATTTGAAGCTTAAGAATCTCATGAATTTATAATCTTTCATCAATAAATCGTTGAAATGAGAGCTAATAATAATCACACAATAGGGTTTACACGTACGTGGAATCCGGCTCAGTTCCCTGATGAATGTACGAAGTGATCTTCCTTTATTGACATCCGAGTGCTTGAATGTCATTGAGGTGAGCTGAGGAATACTTGACATGGTAACTGCAGTATGCTGCTAAGTAAAATAATTGGCTAGTTGAGAAAGGCACCCATGGATCGAGTTGCTCAAGCCTCAAATTAGATGAGAAAGGAACAGAAAACTAATTTAATTTTCACAGTATCACTAATTTGTGCCCTCACGCGCGAGGCCTTTCTTGGCCTGAGTGCATTCTATCTTCCACCTCTTCGCAACAGAAAACCCTCCAGAATTGTAAACGTACAAATAGGCAACAAGAAGAAGAGAAGATGACAGGGGCAAAGTCAACGTAACTACTATTGTAGGATGTTTGGGGACTGTAAACTAGGAAAAAGATTGACCTTTCTTTTAAAAAAATTATGGGAAAATCATCCAAGACGTCCCTCACATTTTGTAAAATAACTTTTTTCGTCCCTCATTTTTAAAAGTGTAATTTTATGTCCCTTACATATTCACATTGGTCAAATTTAGTTCCTAACTAGGTTTTCGATCATTTTTTGGTCGAAATCCATCACGTGCAAGGCACGTGATCATTTTTGAAGGGTAAATTTGTCAAATTATATTTTACATAATCTAATCTATAGTCCTTCACATTTTATAAAACAAATTTTTTCGTCCCTCATATTTTATAAAATGATTTTTTCATCCCTCACACTTCATAAAATGAATTTCTTCATCCCTCATATTTCAAAAAATGAATATTTCCATCCCTCACTAATTATGTGTGTGAGGGAAACTCTAAAAAAAAATTTATATGTGTGTGAATATATTTTGTTTAAACACATGTATATGTCTATTTGATTTTGCTTAATAATACGAATAGCATAAATATATGTATGTGTCGATTTGATTTCATTTAACAATACGAATACCATATATTATACGTGATCATTTGATTTCATCTGGTATTAGCTAATAAAAAATCTTAAATTCATTGTCAAGTTGGCCAATAAAACTATTTTCGGTCAAAATACAATAAGAATATGCAAATTAAGGTTCTGTTGGTAAATATTAGTCATAATCATACAAAAAGAGAAGATAGCCCACAAGTGGGGCCCAATTACATACATGTGTTTATGCTATTATTATTAAGCAAAATTAAATAGACATATACATGTGTTTAAAAAAAATGTATTCACACACATAATTAGTGAGAAATGAAAAATTCATTTTTTGAAATGTGAGGGATGGAGAAATTCATTTTATGAAATGTGAGGGATGGAGAAATCATTTTATAAAATGTGAGGGACGAAAAAATTTATTTTATAAAATGTGGAGGACTATAAATCAGATTAGGGTAAAATACACGGAACCCCCCAATGGTTTCGCGAAAAGACACGAAACCCCCTATCGTTTAAAAACCTCCACATAAACACCCTAACTTTCATAACTAAAGTGGAAATTACCTTTTGAGCCGGCTGAGTTACCGGCAGCAGGTCAAATACTCTCGTCTAACCCGTGGCCTGCTAAATTAGTAGGAATTGACAATCCAATGTATATCCAGAAACGAAACGTAAGCTTGAAAGCTTTGCCTTGAACTTTGAATCAAAAGCACTCTAAGTGTACACGGAAACCTTTGACAGGACTCGGAAGAAAAAAATCAAACTGGAACTTGATATACCAAATGTAGACCTTCCCCATTGATATAGCTAGGAGCTAGCTAAGCTAGTTGAACCATTAATATTTGTTGAGGCGATTTCAGTCTTACCTTAAACGTAGAACCAAGTACTACATTAATCACTCCTAAGTCAGTCCCCTCCCCTCCAATACAAGAATATCCACAAACAAGAAGAAGGAGATAATGGTGGCAGCTGCAGTATCCACCACCACCACAGCTTCATCAATGCTTCATCAGTTGGAGTGCAACATGGACATGGACAAACTCACTTGTGAATTCTTCTCCATCCTCGAAAACAAGTTCCTTTTTGGGTATGACGATCCCAAGTTCGTTTCCCACCTCCCCAAAATTAATACTACTCCTCCTGCTACTGCTGCCGCTGCTGCTGCTACTTCTCCCCTCAGCACCAAGCACTTCCCAGGCGGCCGCGGCAAAGTCCGAATCCTCTCCATTGATGCTGGTGGCTCCACCGACGGCGTTCTTGCTGCCAAGTCTCTGGCACACCTGGAGGCCACCCTCCGCCGCAAATCCGGAAACCCAAATGCCCGCATTGCTGACTTCTTCAACGTCGCCGCCGGCGCCGGCGCAGAAGGCATACTCGCCGCTCTGCTCTTTACCCGGGGGAAGGATGGAAGGACCCTGTTCACCGCCAGGGGGCATGTTGACAATGGAGACGGTGGTTAAACTACTAGCCGGGAAATTATTCTGTTTAAGGGATGACATATCAAATCCACCAGCTGGCAGGGAGGAAGCAAATTTACCAGAATTGCTCCGGCGAGCAGTCCAATTAGGGGAGAGAGCATCGTCAGTGAACTCTGAGACCGTGGGAGCGACAAACTCGGAGGGATTGTAGCTGCCGACGGGGATAGAGTCGCGAGCGGCCCGCATAGGGGAGAGCGGGGCAGTAGGAGAGAAATGGGGTATTTTGGGTATTCGACCTGCAGCCGGTAACTTAGCCGGTTATAGGTCTATTTTTACTTTATTTATGGAGTTTAGGGCGTTTATGTGTATGTTTCTAAACGATAGGGGGGTTTCGTGTCTTTTCGCGAAACCATAGGGGGGTTCCGTGTATTTTACCCATCAGATTATGTAAAATATAATTTGACAAATTTACCCTTCAAAAATGATCACGTGCCTTGTACATGATGGATTCCTGCAAAAAAATGATCGGAAACCTAGTTAGGGACTAAATTTGACCGATGTGAATATGTAAGGGACATAAAATTACACTTTTAAAAGTGAGGGACGAAAAAAGTTATTTTACAAAATGTGAGGGACGTTTTGGACGATTTTCCCAAAAATTATCATTTTAGTGTAAAAGAGATTCTAAACCTTATGAAAGGCGAGGAGAAAGAAAGATTTGACAGTCAAACTAGAGATCTTACAACCATCCTCTGCACCCATGCGTTGTGCTTCAGAAGGCAGAGAATTTTGGATCGCTAATATATTATATGAAGGAAAATTTATTAATCATGTGAAGATGGGAAAATTCCCAACAAATTTTGATCTGAAATAAAATTGTCTAAATGCTTTTGCTCGGTGGTTTGGTCCTGGTTACAACTACTTCAGCGTCTCTTCTTGTGCATGTGCAGTTTATTCTTTATCAAGGTCCATTTCAGCGCAATGTGCTCTGCGATTGAACTGAATCCAAATACTTGGGAATTCTCCTATCTGCAAATGGGTAAAGCAGTTCCATCATCACTATAAACTATTATACTCCTAATAATAATAAACTGACCGAAGTTTTCAAGCATACCAATCATCATAATCACAAACTAGCAGGATGACAAGAAAGATTAGCTGCTATTCTTGGAAAAGATACGCCTATTGTAGAGGAGCCAATTCTCCATGGACATGTGTCAGTTTTGACAGCCAGTTCGGCCTAGTAGATGAGCTAGTTCGGTCATTAGCCCTAGACCCCTTTCGTGGCCGAATTGGTCAGGAACTCCTGTATCTTCGGGATAAGGCCATAATTGGAATCCAAGAAGGTCTTTAGTAATCTAGTAGGACTCATATTCGAGAATGAGATAACTACTAAGGATAGAGGGATAACCTTAGGCTCCGACATAACTGTCCCAAGGGACTCTATAAATAAGGTGCAACGAGATTAGAAAAGGTATACTACGTATTATTATCAATTTATCTATTCTCTCATTTTTCTCAACTGATTTGAACGTCAGAGTCACAATCGGAAGTTAGTCCGTTGTTCGGCTCATTGCAGGTCAGTTCAGGAACACGCGCCAAGGTTCTGTTTGGATTGCGGTCTCAGCTCACTCATTAATTGGCGCCGTCTGTGAAAAATTTTGTTCTTGCTTTGTGAATCATGGCGAGGATCTGGTCTCAGAAGAACACCGAGGGAATGAACGAAATGATCCCCAAAACCCTCACTAGGAGCCAACTCAGGGTGAGGAAGGGACGGAGCTCCCTCAAATCCCACCTGAACAGTTGCTGCAAGTGGTGGCGGAGAATCCGCTCACCTTTGAAGCGATCGACAGATTAGGTAAACACAGGTATCCAACTCTTTCTAAGTGAGGACTGTAGTCTCGTTGAAGGCTTAGAAACATATGTTCGAATGAGTCCAGCTGCAATGAGCTACGAGGAAGAGAGTTCTTTCACATTCAATTTGATGTCGGAACTGAGAAGTCGATCCAGTTTGGACTCAGGGAAAGGTGAGGGACAAGCATCAGAGACCAATGTGCCCTTCCTCCAAGTTAGAGAGGGAAACCCTGAGTTATTCACGTAGAAGAACTGAGCTTTCCACCCCATAATAGATGAGAGAGATCCTACAAACAGCTCACGGGTCTAATGTTTTACCCCACTTTGGCGACCAAAGTAGAACCAGCGTGGGACATGACCATTAATCTTCATATAGAAGTAAGAGCAGAATAGGTCTAGGGAATAAGATATCTCAAGAATTCGATATAGGATAAAGAAGCCTAAGATAGACCGAACAGCGCTAGGGATGAGTTGGGTTATTCGGATACCCCAGAAGGTAAGGATTTCAAATAGGAAAAGTAGAATGGGGAGCCGAAGACCAGCTATGAGCTGGTCCTTATACACGGCCACGAATCCAGGGGGAGGTTGGCAAGCTAACTCCCCTGACCGAGCAGCCCAGGGCTCGAACTCTGGGGGAATGGAATAAGTTCCCATCGGTTCGTCAACTTCCTTCTGTTCTAGAATAGGAGAGATGAAGTCAACCTCTCCGAAATTGTATTCAGAGGGAAAGAAAGAACGGGAGGGACATGCCTTGGAGGTCTCTGCGGCGGTCTCAGGCGTGGCAACCTGAATAGGGGTCCTAGGGAGGGGCTGAACAGACTGCGTGGGAGGACTCATGATTTGAACAGGGGAACGGTCCGGGGTAGGGATATACTCGGACTCAGATGAACTAGGTGAAGAAGAGCTAGAAGGCGAGGTAGAAGAGGAAATCACCTCTACTGGCACGGGTCGAACTACCCTAAACCTAGGTGCATAACTAGTAATATCAGAGTGTTCAGACGAAGACATAAAAGAAAGGAAGGAGGACTTACTAGCAATAGGGGGAAGAACAGCTTGGACACAAGATATTGCTAAGAAGGAAGTGTGAATAGGCTCTTGTCGCATAGGAAGAAAGCACGAACAGAGTAGGGGCAAGAAGATCCGAGAAAATGAAAGCGGAATGTGAAAATGACTGGTGGTGTACCCTATTTATACGGGGCCATCAGAGCGAGAAGACGAAGAGGTTCGAATTTGAAACTAGTAATGGTTACTGTGAAGAACGTGACGGTTCAAGTGATGGTTACACATGGAAGAAGTGACGGTTACATAAAATGTTTGAAGTAATGATGTCAAAGGACGTGCTCCTTGGCTGAACTGACACGTTCCTAAAATTCGATCCAGATTACCGTTTAATGACTCTGGCCTTCAAAGGGGGGCTAGTGTAGAGGAGCCAATCCTCCACGGACAGGTGTTCAAACAGGCTAGTTCGGCCTAGTAGATGAGCTAGTTCGGTCATCGGCCCTAGACCCCTTTCATGGCCGAACTGGTCAGGAACTCTTGGATTTTCAGGATAAGACCATAATTGGAATCCAAGAAGGACTCTACCTCTAGTAACTTAGTAGGACTCATATTCGAGAATGGGATAACTACTAAGGATAGAGGGATAATCTTGGGCTCCGGCATATCTGCCCCAAGAGACTATAAATAAGGTGCAAAGGGATTAGAAAAGGTACGCTACGTATTATTATTAATTTCTCTATTCTCTCATTTTTCTCAACTAACTTGAGTGTTGAAGTCACAACGGGGAGTTAGTCCTGCTGTTCGACTCATTGCAGATCAGTTCGGAAACATGCGCCAGGGTTCTGCTCGGATCGCGGTCTCGGCTTACTATTACCAATCAACCCAAAGCATGTTAATCTGCACACACAATGTCAACCAAAGAGTACTTGGAAATTATCAGCTTCATGGCAACTGCAATTGGTTTAACTACTAGAAAACTTGTATATCTAGATGAATTTGCATTCGCATTTACAGATATTCAGTTACGCAATCCATATTCACAGACATTGCAAATCATATCACCTTGTCACGCGTTACTTCATGGCTTTCTACTGCTTCCTTCCGAAAATACGCTAGCGACCAGTGATGCTGTAAGAAGAAATGATTTTGAAGCAACTATTTAGCATAATCAACAAGTAAATTGAACAACATCATGCAACTAAAGATGAACATGAAGGTATATATACGGTCCGATCAGGATATAAGATGATGAGAAGCTCGAGTGAAGAACTGGGAGGCACAACAGCCACAGAAAGGGATCCGAGTTACAATAATAACAATAGCAAAATCTGCAAGACACTTCAAAAGCCAAATATCAAGCAAAAGCTGAAAGTCCTCGTGTGGAAAGGCTTTAACAATGCATTACCAGTGATTGTCCAAATACAGTGCATATTTTTTATACCAATATAAAGCTAATGTTTCAACCCAAAAAAAAAAAAAAAAAAAAAAATTGCAACTAAAGATGCAATTCACCTGGTTATATTGAAAACTACACTTCCAGACTAGAATCCACCGCAACTCTAAATGGGCCTAAGCAGTGTTTGACAAAACTGTCTCAAGGAATCAATAATCGAAGTGCATGTAGATGCTGGTCAAGTCGACTTCCAAATTCACAACAATCATTTGGATATTTTGGGTATTTGGGTGACTGATTAATTAATAATTGACGACAAGGTTGAAGAAATCACTATTTAAGAACTACAATGTGAATGATTGTGCATTTGCGATTGAGGAATGGTATCCAAAATTAGAGTCAACAATTTTGTCAGTTGTCTGTTGATCAAATTTAGACCTCCAAAACTCGGCTGAATTATTGGGCTTTTGTTTTTAATTTAAATAGACTACTATTTACATGCCAAAAGTCAGATGAGATGAGTCACATTAAGTTACCGTTGAAGTTGATGGATATTTGAAGTTATAGATAGACATACACAGTTTCATAAATGTTCAATAGATTGGTTGGATTAATCATTTTTAAGAGACTCAGTTACAGTTCTTGCTTCTTTTTTTTTTTTTTTTTTAAATTTTAATCTAAGTAAGGAAATCACAGCAAAATATTTACAACTCCAAAAATTATCTACTCGAATGAATTCTCTTATTCTCTCAGTTAACTCGTTTGTTTTTCTTCTTCTTTGTGAAAAAAGAGTTGGTACCGTCGCAATGTTTAGTCTGACCATCAATGAGCTTCAACAAAAATCCCACCAATAAGCACTCTCAAGTCGCAATGTTTAACTATTTCACTGGCCTTCTTTTAGGTTTCAAAAATTATACTAATCTCCCTTGAGATTTATTATCTTGTAACATTTAGATCTAACCAACAATTAAAAAGTGATATTAGGAAAGAGAATATAACATGATTCCACTATTATTCCCCATCTACTATATTATTTAGTTAATCTAATACCAACCCACACATTACAAGAAAAATACTAGAATATGTTATTTATCATCAGGGATCAAATTACATATAGTATCAAAAAAATAGTATATCATTCTATATATTTCACTTAATGAAAGATTCAAATTACTCTTTTAAATTACAAACCCATTATCCAACATAAGCAACAACAAATAATTAAAAAAAAAATTTGTAACCAAAACATTACAAAAAGTAGACTTTAGTACCATAAAAATCTTATAAACTAACTTTAATATATTGACAAGAATATTTATGACGTTAAAGTTCGTTCTTTGCGATGTTTTGGCTCCAAATTTTTTAATTATTTATTGTTGATCATTTTTTACTGTGGGTATGTAAATAAAAAAAGTAATTTGGATCTTGCATTAAGTAAAAAATATAGAATGATATACTATTTTTTGATATTTTATGTGATTTGATTTCTAAAGATAAATAGCAAATTCTTGTATTTTTCTTTTAATGTGTGGATTGGTATTGATTTTTCTTTATTGGTTGATTTTCAAAATAACACTAATACAAGGTGACTACAAGGAAAGAAAAAAAAAAGTGAGTGGAAAGAGAAGGATTTTGAAAGTTCAATTAGGAAAAAGAAATTCCCAGCCATATCAATTTGAGTAATTTCTCAATGAAATTGCACAAAATAAAAGTTTTAAATTAGTATGGATGGGGCCATATTTCTTAAATAAGGGAGGGAAAGGTATCCAATGTTGTAATATGACTTAACCACGAAATATTTTAGAAATCTAAACGAAACTCAAGCAGTTGATAAAGCCGTATTCTTATCTTCAAAGAACAAAGAATTTTGGTGGTATATTTTTGTTTTACTCTTGAAAGCTCAAAGAAAAACTAATCGAGTTGGTCAGATTTATAAATGGTCAAATTGACGTCATATTCTGAACTTTTTACACTTCAATTTCTACAATTTCTATGTGTTTATATGTAAATCGACTTTCGGTCTTTTGATTTGGTCTGACAATTTAAAGATTTATTTTAAAAACTGACTTCAAACTTCATAAAGATATATTTATATATATATATATATATATATATATTTTTTTTTTGAGAATAGATATATTTATAATTTTGAGCGAGAAACTTCAATAAAGTTAATTCATAATTGGAGCCAAGTATAGGCTCGGATCAATACGCTAATGTAAAGAAATGTTTACCTTGTGCCAAAAAAAAAAAAAAGAAGAAAGAAATGTAGACTAGAGTTGGATCAATATGTTAAACATTTGACTGAAACCAAATTAAAAAATACAAAAATGGAGCGTATCGACCATCCCACAAACGATGTCGTCGATAACATAACAGCCAGTCCATCCTTCCTCGTGCTCTTCCGAGTTATGCTAGTCTAGGGGACAATCCATCTGCGACATGGGTCCGCCGACGCCGAAGTGCCCGAATTCACCCTCAGCTGCCACAATCCTCGCTGGAACCGAGGATGTTTTGATCGAAATCCTCCTTTACCTGCCTATCAAAACACTAATCAGATTCAAGACCGTCTCCAAAAGCTGGTTCTCCCTTATTTCCAGCTCCCATTTCTCCCATCTCCATGCCCTCCGCCACCGCCCCACTACTGCCGCCTCCGCCCTCTGCCTCCGCAAATCACCCTCGCAACTCTACCTCCTACCCCTTTTCACTAGACGTCCAAAAATCCACACTTTTAAATTTAATCTCACCCCCCCTGATGCTTATAATCGCACGCCCACGGCCCCTGCCACCGCCACCACTTATAGGACCAGGATTTTACAATCTTGCAATGGACTATTACTTTTACAAGTGTCATACAATGCCCGAAATGCCCCCAAAGATTATTACATCTACAATCCCACCACCCGTCAATCCAGAATTCTTCGGCTCACTTATCACTTCCACAACAATATTGTTAGTCAGAGTCAAAGACAACAATTGGGGCTGTATTTAGCCTATGATCCTTCAAAATCACTTGATTATAAGGTGATATGTGTGAGTTTTACACCTTATTCGGTGTATACTTATCAAGTTTTTGTTTATGATTCAAAATTTCAATCTTGGAAGGTTGCTAATGGGGGAAAAGAGTTTGTGGTGCCTTATGATGTAAAATTTTGTGATGGGGTCTATTGGAATGGCAAAATTCACTGGATTAGGCCAAAGGGCGAATCTTATTATTTTGACATTGATAAGGATTGTGTTGTCCAGTCCATACAAATTCCTCTAGTGGGGAGATGGCGGGGTGATAGAGTTAGTGATACTTACTATTTTGGAAATTCTAATGGCCACTTGCATTTTGTGACAATGTACTTGAGGCAAGCATCTGAATCTGAATTAAGGGTCTTCGAAATGCAGGATGATTGCTCGAATTGGTCGCTGAGGTATCGGATGGATTTTGTTGATATCTTGTGTTATTTTCCTGAGGTTAGGAGAAGGGAGATCGATTTTAGAGATGGGGATACAGTTGATTACGCATTTTGTGTGCTTGGTATGGTTAGGGAAGAGAATGGTGAGGGATTTTTGGTGTTTCATGTTCCCGGAAAGGTTGTCGCTTACAAGTTCAAGGATAAGAGCTTTGTGGAGCTAGCTGATTCGAGAGCACTTCATTTTTCTAGGAAGGGTTTGCTGAAGTTTGGATGTCATGATGCTTATGAGTTTATTGAGAGTCTTGCTCCTGTTTGATTGGTTGTCCAGTTTGTAGTTGTGGTCTTTATGTTTGTTGCCTGATGATTCGTGTTGCAAATTAGAGTTTATGTAAGCTTGATTCAATTTTCTTCATATTGATGATGTTAATAGTGTTCAATGAGTGCGTATTGCATGGGAGCAAATATTTCTTAATCTGTTTCTGGTACTATTTGAATGTATGTCCTCCAAATTGATTTGTCACAAACCATTTGATTTGAAATCAACTCACTGTTCTCTGTCTGTGATATTAGACACCCTTGTGAAGCGTGCTTCCAGTGATTGCTCAAAATGATGCAGTCTCTTGATTTTACGGATTCGCTTTCTGCGGAGTTTTTTTCTTTCTTTCTTCCTTCCAGTCCAGTATGGAAAGGCGTGGCCTTAGTGATTTGTTAAACGCATTCCTGTTTTCAGCTCTCCCCTCTGTCATGGTACGGTTTCCTGGACAAAAACAGCTAAACAAACTAATTTACTGCTCGGAAATCACTGACTTTCAGACATCTCGCAGAAATCTTTTGATTATGCACATGAACAATTGACCAAGTTCGAGTTCCTTTTCCGTGCTTCACAACTCTTCTTTCCCTTGTAACTCAGCTGTCATCTGAGGTTTTTAAACTTGTTTCAATACCATTTGTAGTTCTTGCGGAAGGATAGAGATCAAGTCAAAAGCGCTCTTAGCATCCTGCTTCATGTGCTCAAATATGGTTCAAGCTCCTTGGGCTTGTTTGAAGTACTATGTTCACCTACACAGTGGCATTATGGTTTTTGACATTGTTGAACCCGAAACTAAGGTCAAGCATACCGCCAGCCATTCTGCCGTTTCAGGGAGACCGCATCTGGTATAACTCAGCTAAGAGGTAGCATTGTTTAGAAAGCGAAAATTTCTTACTTTAGGGATAATTGCAGAAACCTCCCCTGAGGTTTCTGACATTTGCACTAACCTCCCCTGTGATTTGAAAAATTACACTAACCTCCCCTGAGATTACTAATCCCAGTGCAAATGTCAGAAACCTCAGGGGAGGTTTCTGCAATTATCCCTAAACTTTAATACATGACAAAGATCAAAAGTAATTTACAACCGTTCACTGAAGCAGTCGATGGAATCGAAGTGCAATGCATACAACAACGAAGTCAAACTCACAAGTCCATAAACCAAAAGATCACACTTTTATTGGCTGAATAAATACCGTGAAGAGTTGTTTTACATCCTGTACACACTTCCCATTCCCGTAATACAAGATAACCTAAAAAGTCTGCATTCGCAAACCCCCTAGTTACTCTGCTCAATCGATGATGAAAAAATTATGCGCAAAAAAGGGAAACAAAAATACAAGCTCACAACAAACCTGTGACCAAAAAAGAATATGAAGTGACTACCTTAGACAAACAAAGAGGAGGAAAAAACAAAAAGCAATCGAAACCTATGTATTCAGACCGCCATATGCAAAGAAT